TAAAGAAATATGTGAAAGGAATATGTGAACCTTGTCCAGGACTACAGAAACAAAAATTTCTGGTTTGAGATCTTGTCAACAGCAAAYTCATGCACCTGGGAATGCTCTTGCTTCTTGTTAATGAGGATCCTGAATTCTTATTGCTCTAGCAATGGCTGTGCCAGGTCTAGATGTGAAATGCATTCCCCAGGTGTGAAGAGGCCTTTCTTCAGCTGCTGCAGACAGGTTTTGCTGTCAGAGGCTGAAGACAGAMGTACATGGGGCAGCTCTGCACTCGGGGAAAGCCTGTGGGACCATGTCTGCAGAGGCCAGCTGGGACCTCCTGGGTGCCCCTTGCAGGTGAGCTCTTGCCCCATCCCAGGCAGTGTGTGGCTGCAGAGTCTGATGGACCATGGGCACATCCAGCAGCAGAATCTGTGCCTGGCGGGAGCCCAGCTTTGGTCAAACAACATCATGGCCTGTGCTCTAGACTTCCCAAACCTTGTGTAAATAATTTAACAATGTTACTCTTGCCTTTAATATGTTTAACAGCTATATTGCAGGAATGCCTAGAGGCTGTGACTAGATTTAGTCCTGTTGTGCTAGATTCCGTGCAGAGATAGTAAGTGGAGCAAGTAGAGGCATAAAGTTAAGACTGCATAGCAGTTTCCATTAGGAAGACCTGCTTTCATTTCCCAGTCAGTCATTACACTTTAACTGTTGCAGTTGTGGTTGCTGTGCTGTGTGCCTGTCTCAGAACTCTACCCGTTACACATACAGCAAAAATTAATTGGCCTGTWCTTGGCCAACAGCTGGTGCATCAGGAGTACACTCCAGACTCTCCACCTAAGACAGGAGAGTTGGCCTGGAAGGTCTTTTCTCTGCCCAGTAGCAYGGGATCAATTTTTCCTTAATTAACAGCCTCTGAGGATCTCACTTTGCATGTTCCAAACAAGGGCATTTTTGAGGCCCACAGTTTTCTCCCAGGATCCTCTATGCTGACCAGACAGGTCATGTACATCTTCAGCACACTTTGTCCCAAGTGTCAAATGTTGAGCAGGACACTTTCCAGTCTTTCCTACTGATTCTAGAAAAGCAGGCAAATTGACTTGTCCGTGATCACATGCCTGCAACAAGGASTGGARAAGAGGAGGAGGAGGAAGAAGCTYGAGCAGCTCTAATGCAGAAAACAGAAGAGAGGTGGGAAGCAAAGGCAGACTGAGGATGGAGAGACARCTCAGGCAGTGGCGTGATAGAGGACATGGGCCAGGCTGGTCTTTGATTGCTGAAGGTGCTGCTTACAGAGACTGGACTTGAATTCAGCACTCGGGGCCCAGCTTGGTGACACTCAGGACCATGTGCTGACTGAAAAACATGAGCCAGGAGGCAGTGACCCCAAAACAGGAGAGAGCAGGTCTCCTCCTGAGACTCTTTTTTAATTTGGTGTCTGATAACGTACCTAGCAAGGTTCTGAGAGATCTCTGTCAATAGCTGAGAGCACAGTGAGACCAGAGACTTTACAAACTGCACACACCACTGACATTTCTGCTGTACCTGGCGTGTTGGGCAGTCTATCTTCAGGCACATTAAGGGAACACACTAGCTCCTTGAGGGAAGAATGAAGCCCTTTAAACTGGAATGGAGGGGCTTCCTGCAGAGAAGGTGTGTGGGGAGGGAAAGATGCCCAGGGAGCATCTGAGCAGCAGAGGTCTGAGCCTCAAGTGGAAGCCATGGAAACTGCATCTCACTAGGTGGCAAGAAGCTGTGGAAGAGCAGACAGAGGTTATACAACTGAAACTGGGGAAGCCCATGGAAGTCCAATGGGTGGAAGYGCAAACTGGATCCTCATTTTAAGTTGTCTGACCTTGTGAGGATGGCAGATGTGGGAACTCTGTCCCGTTTATGTACACACTGGAGTACAGCAGTACAATCTTTGCTTTATTTTTCTACAACCTTTTTTTTTTCAGTCCTTCAACTTATCTTTCTCTGAATCTTTGCTTTACTATTTGGCACATGAGTTTCTACCTTTACTACAAAGACTCACAAGACAAAGTAAACCAGAGTGGACTAAGTTGTTGGGGCCCTGAGTACGTTCCCCTTTCTGGGGTTTTGGCCCTCCAAGGTGCAGGCCAAGGCAGATGATGCAGCCACCTGTCATCAGATCTGCTCTGCTCTCCTTCCTCAGGTGAGAATGCACACTGGTCAGTGAAGCCCCTATCTTGCTGCAATCCTTTCTGCCTGGCTTTCCATCCCTCTGGAAGCAGCCTTTCCTTSCTGCTCCTGGCATGGAACAGAGACTCAATGTTTGAAGGGAGATGGAGGCTGCAGGCAATGYAAGTGTATGATCAGGTAAGCAGAAGTTTATTCTTGGAGACATTAGTAGGGACTTGCAGGGTGCAAGCTGTTGGTGTGCAGAGGTCAGTACTGAGCTTCTGCTATTGTCTTCAGGCAGAACCTGTTGCTGTAGGCACAGGCCACCATCCTCCCTCATGGGAACGACAGCTCACTCAGTTGCCCAGAAAGGTCACCAAAGAGAGCAATTTCCTGTTGCTGTCAAATATCTTGCTAACCTATATGTAGGTGTGAGGTTGAAGGTTACATGGAAAAGATCCATCAAACAAGTGGTCAAATTGCATTTCCTCGGGAGTACGAAAGCTGCTTGCACAGCCTGGATCTGGGTCCTTTTGAGTGCAGTCGTGAGATCCAGTTTATGYTTTCACTTTCTCCATGGTCTAATGTGCTTTCATAGCAGGGAATGGACTCAAATGGTGTGCACGAAGATGATTCCAACCTGAAGGTTCCTTTACCACAGACATCTGGTGGATAAGACAGGACAGCTGGGGCAAGGACAGACAGAACTAGGATTCTTACCAGCAGATCTGGAGCCATGTCCCTTATTGCGTCACAACTGGTCTTTATGGTGGGATTAATCCAAATGTTTGTCACTGCCATTTTCCTTCCCAGCACAGAATCTGGACTATCATTCTGGACTAGGAACCACAACTGGTCAATGACCTGCGAAGATGGGCATCTCTCACTCCCTCAGTGATCCAAGGGTGGGAGGTGTCTGCATCAGAGTGGTGACACAGATCCCCAGGCCTCAGTGTTATTCAACATTTKAGCCTGGATAATTCTTTTGCCACATTTTCCTGGCTGGAGGCAGGACAGTTCTTGCTGTGTAAGGGTATTTCCTTGGGACCACAAGAATGTGCCACAGAGAAAGGCACAAAAGACGTGAAAGAAAGAGGAGGCTCTATGATGTCATATCTGGGTCCCRGGGATTCAGATTGTGCTTATTTAGTGGAGGAAGGCTGAGTATCCCACTTTTAGCCCAGTGGGCTCACTTTGCCTCATTTACGTACTCCACACAGGATCCAAGTGTCCAGCTCCATGACTGGGCTGTTACATGCTGCAGAAAACACACACTTCAAAATGGTGTTCCAGACCTCCTCAGGGACAGAGCAGAAGGTGACAGTGGAGAAATCCATGTGTTTAGACAGATATCAAAGCCACCAGGAAGTCTGGGAAGCTAAGCATCCCTGGTCAAAGGGGGAATGCAGGCAGGAACACACAGGGAACTTGAGAGGAGGAATAACCCTAAGTGAGAGCTAAAGATCTTGCGTGTCACTGTGCCACTGAAACTACAGTCGGAGTGAGCACAGACATGACTTCAGCTCCCGCATTTCTTGGCTTCCAAGCACTTAACATGGAAATTCCGATACTTTTCTGAAGCAGCCCTTCAGTTTGCCTATTGTAGGTCTGCTGAGCAGCTCCCTTTAGATAGAGGACAATCCAAATGCCGAGCTTGAGTCCCCCCTCTGTTTTAGCGTGGGGATYCCCACAAGGGGCAGGCGATCTTCCCCCGGACACAGAGAGCATAGCGGAGCCGCGCAGTTCTCGCCGCAGCTCAGGAGCTTTCTACTCACACGGGTCTCGCTTTCTCTGCAGATGGAGCGATGTGCACCAGGGCCATTGGCTGTCACCCGGGGGATGCGTCTGACACACGGAGTGCGGGGGGGCTGAGAGGTGTTGGGGCCGCGGGGGAGCAGCARAGGGGGCGTTTCAGGCCCCCGCTCCCACCCTGACCCGAGCGCGTCTGTGGACAGCCCCGCGGACTTCCCGGCCCCGCAGCGCCCAAGCCCGTCGGTCTCAAAGAGACCCCGCTCCGAGCCTAGAAGGCTCTGGGGCCGGGAAAACGGCAGTTCCGACCCTGCCCGGCGGTCACTCCCCACCGCACCCTGTTCGGGTGCGCGCAGTCTGCGGGCACGGCACGGCACGGCACGGCACAGGTGCGGTACGGCACAGCCCCGGCGCGGAGCGGTCGATGCCTGGCCAGGGCCGGTCCGTCGGGACGCTGGAGCCCGCCCTTCGCCGCCGTCCCCGGGCCACTCCCCGCGGGCTTGGCCGTCAGGAGCTGCCGAGAGGGCTGGCTCGGGTCCGGTTGAGGGAGCCGGTAGTGGCGGGGCGGAGCGGAGCCGGCTCGCCCCGTCCGCGGGCCCGGACTCGGAGAGGACTGTGCCGGGCGGCGCGGCCCCGTCCCGTCCTGTCCCCACAAAAGCACCCTTGTGCTGGCCCCGTAATTGCTAATCATCAATCACCATTAATAACAGCTGATGAGGCGGGAGGGGGAGGTGCCTTCCCAGGGGCCGGCCGCGCCGGGGGAGCGGGACGCCTTGCCCCGCCGGAGCGGGCGCTGAAGGAGGAACTCAACCGTGATGTGCGGAAGATGGATGAGAGCAGAGGGCGACACCCCCGCCCGCCTCCCCTCCCCTCCTCCC